AAAAAGGCTTCAATTTAAAAGTTTAAATGAAAGTACAGTTTTAATGAAAACATCCAGTACAAAGAAACAAAATTATAAATCTGTGTGTGCTATTTATGTTTTTGCACCTTGTTATTAACCTTAAATGATCTATCTAAAATATTTAAATGGCTTTAAGTCTATTGCTGAATCTATTTATAAGAAACTTTATGTTCTTAAGCAAAATGAGAGAACAGGCTTCTCTTCGATTTCAGCTTAATTTTCCAAATCAAAAGCAAGCAACCATGAATATACTGGGTAGTTATTTATAAATGCTGGCTTCTGAATATGCTGTGTGGTTATTTCTAAATTCTGGCTTTCTGGAATAGTCTCATGCAGTCGATGGTAGAAAAAGAAGACTTTCAGTATAGATAAACTATTAATACAGCTTTAGCACATTTAATGACTCTGTCCCTCAGTCACTTCACAGTGCATACATGGGAATCAGCCTAACACAAAACTCGATAAATACAATCCAAGATCAGTATTTACAAGTTATACTGGTCTCAATGCTTCATTTCAAACTATGCCCCTGGCAAGAATATCAGATAATACCACATGAAAATAACACTTTGTCGTATTTTTTCATGTAAAAATTAGTTTATATTCCAATAATTCATGTTCTTATAAAATCTTATTTTTGGGGGTGCCTGGGTGGCTCAGTCAGTTAAGCATCTGCCTTTGGTTCAGGTCATGATCCCAGTGTCCTGGGATGGAGCCCCACGTTGGGCTCCCTGCTCAGCGAGGAGTCTGCTTTTCTCTCCCCTTGCTTTGCCCCTCCCCCCAGCTCGTGCTCTCTCCCTCTCTCTCAAATAAATAAATAAAATCTTTTTTAAAATTTTTTATTTTTTATTTGTATATAGCCAGGTCATTCTGACATCTAGAGTTAACAATGAATGTCACAAAGTATGTTATTTGACATTCTATAGATTAGTCTATGACCAGAAAAACAAGTACCTGGTTAAAAACCAGTGCCCCATCACTCCTGCTCCATGTTCCCATTAGACCTTGTAAAGTCCCTATGATACATTCATCACATTTTATTGTAACTATGTATCTACTGTTTTCCTGACAAGATTATAAGTTTCAAGAAGGCAGGGGCCATGTGTATCCTGCCTACCACTGTACTGCCTAAGCTTAGTAGAGCACAGTGCCTCACATATAACAAGTGCTCACAAATATCTACATAATGAATGAATGTAAGAATGACTGATTCTGAATGTCTCCAAAATGAAAGTGACAAATTCCAAACTTCCTCCACTCTCTCAGCCCAAATTACCCACTAACATGAATAGGACAGCTAAATAACCATTCTCAGGACAGCCAGAAATAATTATTATTATTAATGAAATCATACCTAACATTTGAGTGCTTACCATGTGTCAAATACTCAGTTCCTTTAGGTATTAACTATTTTAATTTTCACAACAACCCTGTGAGAGAAGTACTACTGCTTTCCCATTTTACATATGGGGAAACCAAGGGACACTAAAATTAACTTACTAAAGAAACAAAGCTAGACATGACAGGACTAGGCTATAAATCCACACAACCTGAATTGGGCCTGAAGTATTAATCACTATAAAACTAGGGAATTCTCGGGGCGCCTGGGTGGCTCAGTCGTTAGGCGTCTGCCTTCGGCTCAGGTCATGTTCCCAGGGTCCTGGGATCGAGCCCCACATCGGGCTCCCTGCTCCGCAGGAAGCCTGCTTCTCCCCCTCCCACTCCCCCTGCTTGTGTTCCCTCTCTCTCTGTGTGTCTCTCTGTCAAATAAATAAAATCTTAAAAAAAAAAAAAAAAACTAGGGAATTCTCTTTTTCCCTGTCCTCATCTATTTAGAGTCTGGCCTGACCACTATTGGTATGGGCTGCCATGCTTTTCTTATGCAACATTCATTCTCTTGTGAGACTAAGTGAAGGGACTTAGTGACAGTTATAAGCAATCCCTTTATATATATAAAAGTTCACTACATAAAAATCATTATCTTTAATCTAGTTCATTTCTATTAAAAATGATATAAAAATGGGGGGGAGAGGGACGCCTGGGTGGCTCAGTTGGTTGAGCGACTGCCTTCGGCTCAGGTCATGATCCTGGAGTTCCGGGATCAAGTCCCACATCGGGCTCCCTGCTTGGCGGGGAGTCCGCTTCTCCCTCTGACCCTCCCCCCTCTCATGCTATCTCATTCTCTCTCAAATAAATAAATAAAAAAAATCTTAAAAAAAAAAAAATGGGGGGGAGAGATGTGTTCAGTATTATGGTGAACATAAGGTTTCATGGGTATAACAGATGTGAGAAGTTATCAAACTAACATTCTATGTACATCTTATTCTGTCAGTTATACCTCAATAAAACACATATATAAAATAAAGATACATAAAATGTACTGAATTTTTCTATGTGCCATTTGGTTAACAAACATTTATTTCCATACAGAATGCCATTTCAGTATTATGTAATTTTAGGTTGGACATGATATTGAGAAAACTAACCTGTTTTGCCTTCTGGACTTGAAAACTGTGTTACCTTTTGGACTTTTCGTACTGGCTTGACCACTTTCTTCTCTTTACTTTTTTCAGCAGGTTTCTCTTTCATAGAGATATCATCTGAAAAGCAGAAACACTTATAGTAAATATTATAATGATTCCTACCCACCCACTCATCCTCTTCCCGGTATGAAAAATCACTGTAAAGTATATGATTCAGGTAGGGAGGAAAAAAACCTTCGCTGAGGCTATTTCTGTGACCCATAAGCTACCAATGCCAACTCCTCATATGGAACAGTCTACAGATTACCACTACCCCCACTGTTAGGTTCTAATTCTTTATTTTCTGTCTTTCATTTTTGTTTTGTTTTCAGAAAACCCTCAAGAAATTTACCTCACTTTCGCAAAGTAGAAGCAGCTATAAAAGTAATGCTTTCCAAGCCAGGGTCATATCATTTATAGAATCTCACAGGTGAGCACTTTCACAGATTCCTATTTCACTTAAAAATTCCTATGTAACTGAGATATTCATGAACTTCTAGAATAAAACTTTATAAAATACTCAGTATAATATTCCCAAATAATGTCAAGGTATTTCACATATAAATCACTTGTCACTAATTTTTTAAATTCCAATCTAGGGGAATAGACTAGCTACACATAAAAACTTAAAAATCAACCTCAGTTAAAGATCTGAAGAAGTGTAAACTTAAACTACATATAGAGCTCTGCATTCTGGACAAAGTGCAAGTGTGAGTCAAAGGCCCTAAAGCAGGAGCATACCTGAGAAACAGTAAGCTGGCCGGTGTGAGTGAAATGAACAGAGAGAAAAGCAGAATTCTAAGAACTAGAGTTCGAGACATAACTGAGGACCAGATCGTGTTGGGCTTTATAAGTCACTGTAAGAACTTCAGCTTTCACCTAAGAATGAGATTGAGATGTTTTTGGAAGTTTGGGGGGCAAGGGAGTGATATGATCTAAGTTAAATTTTAACAAGCTTACTCTAGCAGCTGTGATGAGAAAAGATGAATTAGAAGAAGGAGAAGCAGAAGACCAGTGAGAAGGCTACTGCAATAATCATGCAAGAGACTCATGGTGGTTTAGACCTAGGGAGTAGTGACAGAGGTGGGGAAAGTGGTTATATTTTTAGACATATTTTGGACAATATGAAATATAAGGTCTCAGAAAAATACGGGAATCAAGGAAAACTCAAGATTTGGGGCCTACACCCCTGAAATAAATAATAATACATTATATATTATTATTACATAATATTATATAATAATACATTATATGTTAACTAATTGAATTTAAATTAAAAAAAAAAAGATTTGGGGCCTGAACAAGTAGAAAGATAGGACAGAGGGACTATCAGAGGAGTAGGTTTAAGGGATATATCATGACCCCATTTAGTTAGCTCTATTTTGGATATATTAAATTTGAGAAACCCATTATACATCCAAAGGGAGATATGGAGTCAGTAGCTGGATATGACTCTGAGTTCAGAGAAGTCTAGGCTAGAGACATGTATTTGGGAATCATCGGCAACAGAAAATATTTAAATCCCTGAGACTAGATGAGTTTGCCTAGTGTGTATGTAATTAAGTAGTAGTAGTAGTAGCAGAAGGAGAAGTAGAAGAAAAAGAAGAGAAAAGAAAAAGAAAGAGAGAGAGGAAGAGAAAAGAGGGAAAAAAAAAAGGATAGATCCAAGTACTGAGACCAGGGCATGGCTCTGTTTAGATATCAGGGAGCCGATTAGGGGGAAAAAACAAACAACAACTGAAAAGCAGCACCTAGACTCAGAAGGAAAACCAAACATTTAAGGTATCCTAGATGTCAAGTAAAAAGTTCCAAGAAAGAGGGGCGCCTGGGTGGCTCAGTTGGTTAAGCGACTGCCTTCGGCTCAGGTCATGATCCTGGAGTCCCGGGATCGAGTCCCGCAT